ATAACTACGTGTAATAGTAATAGTAATTTATGGATCACGGAAAATCAATAAATGAAATGAATGTAATAAGCCAATAATAATGATAATAATAATAATAATAATAATAAAATAATTAACTCACGGAATTATCAAGAAAAGATTATTCTAACATTCTAAATTGTAACATTTCTTTAACTCTGGATTCAAAATCATTTGTTCACTTTAAAAAGAACTTGAATTATTCTTAAAAGAAAGGTCTTGTTTATTTTCAAGGAATACATTTAATTAGAACAGCGAACTAGATGATTGAACTTTTTTAGCGTGTATAAATAACGTTGTAATTTTCTTAACTTCATGTGTCGTCATAATAATCATCATATATAATATCACAACAAACTGTCATTATTCTTGTCCTTGTTGTTGTCTTCAAATTTATATTTTCGTAATGATAATAATCCTATATCCAACAATGAATTCATACTAATCCCGTGCATAATTAATTTTCTATTTGTCTCTATCTTTTTATTTCTTTTCTTTTCTTTAATGAGGTAATATTAATAAATTTTATTTTTGAAGTTTTGGAATATATATCTGACTTGGCAATACAGAGATTAACAACCGTTGATCAATATTGGCATGTAGAATGACTTTTACATGATACGTTAGACAGGTTTAGGTACAGGCTTTGTAAGTTTAAAATTTTGAAGTTTTAAATAGTGCTAAAATCCTATGACGATAAATCAATCACTAGGGTTTGTTTGATGATAATGAAATTTTTTTTTGATGTTGAAATAGTTCTTGCCTTTTTTTTTTATTTATATAATAATAATTATTTAATTCTTTATCAATTAATTCTGATAAAGAAAACTGTTAAATTGTTAAAAAAGGTTAAAAACGTAACCAGAAAGAGTTGGTCAATAATATTACGAGAGAATTTTTTGTTACACGCGTCATAATAATCGAAGATAAAAAGTATATATACGTTCTAAATTATCTTTCACTATAATCCATATAGCCACTCTCTAGCTCTTAATATTTTGCTGATTCTCTATTAAGTTTCGCTCTAATCTGTAGAGCTATAAACAATTATTTCGTTCTAATTTAATATCCCTTAAAAATAATCTAGACCTTTTAAGAATAATTCCAAGTTCT